AAAAATATGAAGATTGAAAAATATAAATATTTACAATTTATATTATGTTATATTTACTGAACTTATTTGTATAAATTTTAAATTTTTATAAAGTTATAGTTATATGTAAAATAACCTCTGATAATATCCTCTCTTTTCTTTCGTGATATATGAAAACTTGATTTTTTTATCACCTTTATCTTAATTATCAATGGTATCACTATGAACTGTTACAAACATGAGTAAGTTATAACCTAATTAACAAAACTATTACGTAACTCAATATTTAAGAAAATAACATAAATAATGTACCTTCATCTTGGTCAGAAATGCTTATACTTTCACCTAAAAACATCATATTATATTTAGGTAGATATTATTCAGATATGCATTTAATATTAAAAATTATTTTGTTTACATTCTGACACAAGTGAAGCACTATTTCCATCAACCACCTTTACATCATCAACTTTTTCATCTAAAATTATTTAACATGTTTATTTACATTATTCTTCTATATTTTTTTTATACATAACTGCAGTTTATTATGTTTGATTTGTACCATTCAACTCTGTTATGATGTAAAGATTTTTGAAAGTCTACATAACCTAAAACAAAAACAGTTATTAAAATCACATACAATGTTACAGAATTTTAAATTTTTATAATAAAAAATGTAAAAAAAGTCAGGAAACAATATATCTAATTGAAAATACCTTCAGTATCATTATCCTCAATGACAGGGATCTTTTTCTTTTTTGGCTATACTGCAAAGGCTCTACTTTGGCCCTCAATATCATCGATTGTGAGGCCAGCATAACATGTCCTAGCTTTTAAAAAATACAAAAATACAAAATAATCGACGAAATACAAAATAATCGACGAAAGCTTTGAAATAAGGGTTAGCGGTTGGATATCGCTACTGATTTGGCAATAACTCGTATCTGACATTTTTTTCAAAATTAGAAAATGTGGCTATATCTTACTAATGTAAATTTAAAAATATGTAAATGTAAAAAAGTAATTTCAAAGGCTCTAGTTTTACTTTTCATGTATTTTACAACAAAGTTGAGTTCAAACAAAGTTGAAATAAATTAGTTTTTAGCTGCTCCTGAAAAATGTATTGATTGTCAGTTACGTGTTGTTGCCAAATCAGTAGCGATATGTGAGCTCTGACTTGATGTAGGCAGAGACTGCTGCTCTTTAATTACTTGAATTAAAGGAGCAGCATAAAAATCCTATAACAAGTTAGCATCAGACACTTCGGCACAGTTTTCATTTTTGGATTAATTTTTTGCCATATATACGCCTAAATGTTAAATTAACATTGTTAAAGTTAATTAATTATATTAAATTATTCATCATTTTGTTTATAAAACGCTTATTTTACCTTTCTCGTCGTAATGTTTAGAAAACCTTAAGTATCGCCTAAAGTCTTATATGGCGTTCATGCTGGTGTAATAAAAATATTTAAACGATGTATTAGCAATTTTCAAGGTTTTTTTTTATCAAAAGCAGTTAATTCTGATGCGTGCTGCTAAACAGCAACGCCTTTCATACGACTAAGATTTGCATCGTGCCTTTCTAAATTATTATGAGAAATTTATATAAAAAACTGATATAATTTAAAAAGTTACACGTCATAAAACAATAATAAGTAAGTGTTAGCAAAAACCTCTTTAAGCAAACTTATTGTTCTGGTTGTCGGCAGGGTTAACTGCACCACTGGGTTTTCGAGATGAGATAACTTCTAAACGAAAATTGTTTTCTTTTTGTTTTTACAAAAACAAAAGAAATTTAAAAAAATTAAAGTGCTAGAACACTAAGTTACAATTGACAAAAAGCTCAAAGGCCTGCTTTGAGCAATCATAGGTTTTGATTCAGCTAAATATAAATGTAAAGTTTTTAAGTTTATAATTATTGGTAACTTGGTCATTATTGTATTAAAAAATAATTACTTTTGGTACGGACACCAGCCCCCATTTTATTTATAAACTTAGCAGTTTTTTCTTTGGAAAACTTCAGTTATTCTTTAATGTCGTCGCTATAACTATGCTATGCACTATGCTTTGCTTTCTTCTGAACAATGCTGTTTTAACAGAAGATGTTTGAATGGTAATTCGATCGACCTATGTATAGCGAGTTTAAGATCGACCGTGCACGTTCAGGATTTGTATTTTGTGTACCCTGATCGCAATCTGATTGTGCAGAATTCTTAGATGCTTGTTATTTTTAGCGACTTAGACTTTTGTTAGGGTTAGGGGACTAGGTGGAACTACGTCAAGGTTGTAGAAGCAAAAACAGTATACGCGGTACTAAAAACAGTATAGATCGGCGTCCGCTACATGCAAACAGAAACGAAGAGGCATTTTCTGGTATCTGGGAGGCACAAACACATAAAACAGTATACCGGCGGTTGGTTTTATACTCTCTATACTGTTAAACAGTTTAAAAGAAAAAACCGTATATCGAGTGATAAAAAACGGTATAGCTAGGAACAGTATATCGACGGTTCGGGGTAACAAATTGGTTGTAGGTGTTTAACAAGGCGATATAAAGCAAAAATTAGGTTTTAACTTGCAGTTTTTTTTGACTTAAATGAACCAAATCATTATTAATGCAATTCAAATAAAACTATCCATCGAAAATAAGAATAATAAACTATAGAGTTTTTTACAATTTACCGACAAACGACACCGCAGCCGTCAAAACAGTTTGCGTTGTCATACTCACCGTTTGATCCTCTTTCGAATGGATGTATCACATGTGACGGCTTATGATATGTGACGGCTGACGTATAGTTTGTCTCTAAATAACGTTTTTCGGTAGATAAAAACTGTTTTCTGACGGCGTTTTTTGCAATTTACCGACAAACGTCACCGCAGCCGTATTTTCATCAGAAATGGTCAAAAATTTATTTTTGAGATTCTCAGGTATTATATGTCAATCTAATAGAAAATTTTACTGCAAAAACTGTTTTGACGCATGTTGCATAGTTTGCGCTCTAGTCGAGTTTTTCTGATCATAACTTTTTGAAGACAAGTTTACACTGCCCGTTACAAAAATTTAAACCCTGATTGGATAGTTTATAAATGGGTTTATAATTTTTTAGTTTTCACGAAATAATTTTGAAGTTATGTAAAAGGTCTATATAATCTATTTTAAAACGTTATTTAGACAACAATATATACACTAGTTTTAAAAGTCAAATAATGTTTAAAAAAATATATTAGTTACAATGTCCGCAATTGCAATGTTGCTCTCCACATGCTTCTTGCATCTGCTAGGTAACTCCTAAAAGAGTCTTTGTTTTCGACTTTTAGTATTTCCTGTGCATATTTCGTAATATGCAGCTTATACTTTCGTAATTAAGCTCGTTGTAAAAGCCTTCTAAACATCCTTCGGCAAAAAAACTTTAGCTGGGCCTCGTTCCATGCTAATAAAATAGCAAATATATTAAAAAATAATATGAATAATAATAAATATTTATTTATATTTACAACCTGAATATATAAACTTACATGCAACTGTTATTTTGCCACTTATAATCATTTGCTGCCCCACCAACGCTATTGCTAACAACGTACTTCTAGAATTTTTTTCACTTCTTGACGAGTAAAAGTCGTCTTTCTTAAATTTGTTAAATTCTATGCATTAAAACTTATGTATACTTCTTTACTTATTGAGAAATTCAAAAGACATAACATTAAGCTTGTTCATTTTTTAATTTTTTCATTATGAACAGTATATTTAAATCATTTATTAGAAAATTGAAAACTTGATTCTCACTTCTTTTAATGTTGTCTCTTAATGTCTTTTAATGTTGTCTCTTTATGTTGTCTTTTAATGTTGTAATGTCTTTTAATGTTGTCTCACTTTTTTTAATGTTGTCTCTAATTGTCTTTTAATGTTGTGTCTTCTTTTAATGTTGTCTCTTATATGTATACTTAATTAAATTAACTTATTAAAATATAAAGATAATAAAATTTAAAATACCTGGTGTTTCTTCCCCAGAATCACTTGATTCTGGGTTAGGGCTTTTTTTTGACAACTCATCCCAAAGGTTATCTGCTAGTTTAGATAAATTTTGACTTTTATGTGAAGCAATTGCTTCAACCTCACGAGTATTCTGCTTTTTATCTACAATTGAAAAAAGTATACAAGCTTAATATAAAAAAAATTAAAATCACATGCCAAAGACAACAAAAAAACACAAAAAATCTTTATAAACATTCCCTGCATAACATCTTTTACAATAAAATCAATATCTTGATTTTCATTGCCACTGTCTTCCATATGACTATCTAAAATATAATGAAGATAATATAGTTAATATACGTGTCAACGAAAACTATTCTTCCAATATAAAATATTAGACAAAAAATGCCTTACCTTCTGGGTCAGCAACGGCACTTTTGCTTCCGCCAATTCTTTTATAACCTAAAATAAAGTTTTGTTTGAATTCAAAACTATATAAACAACTTTAAAATTTAAACATAATCAAAAATATCAACCTGTTGATGTTGTGACGGATATCGTATGGGGCTCGTCTTTACCCAAAAAGTGCATTGCCTCGTTGTCTTCATCAACAACACCAAACTCCTCTGCAATTAACTTATTGTTTTGTTTTAACCAACCTTTAATTGTAAATAACAAAAAGGATAAAAAGGAATAAATGTTTGCAGTAATAATATTTTTAAAAATACTTACTTTTTAATAATATTTTTAAAAACACTAACTTGGGTTGGTGTTGGAGTGCTGTTTATTTCTCTTAAAACCTGGAACTTTGTCCCTACACGCCAACTTATAGCTGCTGCTTCCCTATTAGCATAAAGACGCATATAGAATGTGGCAGTCGTTCCCGTACGATTTTTTATGTATTGCTACGAACACAAAACAATATTATAAATACATATCATAGTGACAAATATGTGTCACATAGACTCGTATTGGTATAAGTTAAATTTACCCTTGCAAATTGGTCCATATTTTCTTCTTCAAAGCCACACATTTCAGTCGCAATGGAAATACAAATCCGAATTGGACAAATTCTCAGATTCGTGAACTGTTCCTCAGGGTTGAATTCAAAGACTTTAGCACGTTTAAAACACGTGGTCATGCCGTTAGCAATTGCTGAATGCGTCAGTGCCATATTGCGACTGCTGACAAAAACTGGGGATGACTTATCGTTGCCTACATCGATAAAAATATATTATAAAAGTATATTAATATATGATAAAAATATATATAAAATATGATAAAAATATGTTATTAAAATACTTACATTACAAAAATACTTAAGATTATTAAAAAAGTTTTGCCTATCTTTGTATTTATGGTGGACCGAAACTTCTCCACATAAATTTCCAACTCTGTTTTTTTATCTGTTAAGGCTTCATCAAGCACTATCGTATTACTGCCGTATATCATTGATGTTTTATATCTATCAGATGAAATAACGAACGCTTGATGATATACCTATTACTCAAAATCAAGTTGGGATTCTTCCTTCCCGACCTCGAGGTTTATGACGTCATGAGCGTGTCATAATGATTTTTAATTCTTTTAAATTCAAATTAATTTTTTCTTTTGTTTAAAGGTAATCAAGCGTAACCAAAAAATATATAAAAAAACATTTTGTCAAATTAAATTATTAAATGTTTAAAGTACAAAAAATGTCAAAAGTAAAAAAAATGAAAGAGAATAAAAAATATAAAGTTAAACGAAAATTGTTTATAAAACCTGTAGCTGTAAGTTTATTAAATGTTTTATTTAAAAAAATGTTTTATTTTATATTTTTTGAAGTGGTTGTGTTTTTTCTAGATTGTTAAACCTTACGTTCCAGAAGGAACTTATAAAATTCCTCAAGCTTATATTCCTCAAGTGGTTGAAACAAGACCACTTGAGAGAATTGATCAACAAATATGCGAAGATGAATTGGAAATATTTGACGATATTCCAGAAATTGATGACGGTAAATTAATATTATTTTTTATAAATATGATATATTTTTAAAACAAACCTAATAGTTTAAAATAATTTTTTTAGAACAAGTGCGTATATTAGATAACATAATGATAAGAATAGACCGTCATTTGGAGGACGATGACATAATGATTAGAAACGATCGGTATTTTGCAACACCAAGACGCGTGATATGTTTTGGATGTTGCCTGTGTGACGAAGAGAGCGTGCACAATCATTGTTGTACAACAACCGTGTGCCCGTACGTGCAAGGACTATTTGAACGGTGCCGCGGTTGTTGTTACTGTTTGTAAATAATAAAAAATTTGTAAAATATATTTGTATATTATAATAAAATAAATCATTTATCAAAATGACTTTTAATGCGACGGACGATTGTTTATTATATTTGTATCAAGTAAATTTAGATTTAAAAAAACATTTACAGGAAACGCATTAAAATCAAAGTATTGTAATGGATAAAGTTCCCTTAGCCGAAGTAAGCGAATTGGATAGTTGTAAAAGAGTATACCGTTTTTATATTAAAGATCCAAAAATTATAAAGACATCAAATAGAGTTGATAAAAGTTCTCGATATGTTATTTAAATGTCTTCCGTATCGCGTATTTTATTCCGACACGTGTTATCATAACTATAGTGAAGTCATTGAACATTGTCTTAATGTGTTAAAGACATTTTATTACGCTACTGATTTGGCAACAACACGTAACTGACAATCAATACATTTTTCAGAAGCAACTATAAACTAATTTATTTCTGTTTAAGACATTATTAGGTAATATTTTCAATTCATATAGTTTTACTTTCAGATTCTACGCACTTGTTCCGTATCTTCTGCTATCTATATAAGTATTTTCGTTTGTTGCAACTGGCGACCACGTTAATTAACCATCAACCATATCTTGTTTTAATAATTTTTATAAATTTAATTTTTTTTGTTAGGAATCTAAAAAAAAAAAAAAAATTATTGTGTTAATATTTGTTTTGTTACAATATTATTAAAGTCTCATTATTTAAAAAAGCAGTATGAAAAAAATATATATTTATTATTATAAAGCAAAATAAAAATACAAATTATTATAAATTAATTTAAAAAATCTATATTGTCTATTTCCATAGGTTTATCATTGTTATCATCGTCATGTTCATCGACATCATCATCATTTTCATCATCATCATCATCATTTTTATCATTATAATTATTATCATCATATTCCTCAGCATCCATCTCATCATCATCATCATCATCATTATCGTAATCCTCCTTCTCATCTACAACATCGATATTTTTTAAATTAAAAAACGAATTGCTATTTGCGAATAAAGCCTCGTGAGGCTTGACTTGATCACTTTTTTGATCTTCTATAGGTCTCCCATACCTGTAGATAGTCTTATCGACATGTGCATATATGGCTTCCATTTTTTTTATTTTCAGTTAATCTAAAATAATTACAATATATTATACAATAAAAAAGATAAAAAAGTTACCATTACATGCACTCTTCTGCACGGTTCTTAACTTTATTAATTAATTCATTCAGATTGTTTATTAATTTAAAATTATTAGTTTTTTGTTGTTCGTCGTATAACCATTTTTATAATGTTTTGAGGGTTTAATAATATCTTGAGGGTTAAATTTTTCTTCCGGATCAACTTGAAAATATAGCGTAATTACTCGACATATTTTGAAAAAACTTCTATTGTAGTCGTTGTCAATGGCATCAATAACATACGTATGCATGTTCAAATAATTAGCAAATTGCTGCCAATAGGCTTCAAGATAGAACAACAAGATATTTGTTAATTCGTTTTCACTCATTTTATTTTATATAATTAAATCTGTAAAAAAAATTTTAAAAAATGTCATTATATAAATATATATTTTTTAACGACTAAAAAATATTTAAAAAATGCCTCGCACAAGATATACATCTAGATCAAAAGAAACTGTAGAAAATTATTTAAATAATCAAATTGATTTTGTGTACGTACTACAAGAAACTCGCGACATACGCAAACAGAATATATATGATTGTTTCAGGAACAATTGTTTTTTCCATATTTTTCATTTTGAACGATTTTTTTTTTTACGGCCATTATACTTAACTATTGAATCACCTAAATAAACGTTATTAAATAAATGTATATATCTATATATATATATATATATATATATATATATATATATATCTATATATATATATATATATATATATATATATATATATATATATATATATATATATATATATATATATATCTATATATATATATATATATATATATATATATATCTATATATATAGATATATATATATATATATAGATATATATATATAGATATATATATATATATATATATATATATATATATATATATATATATATATAGATATATATATATACATAGATATATATATATATATATATATATATATATATATATATATATCTATATATATATATATATATATCTATATATATAGATATATATATATATATATATATATATAGATATATATATATATATATATATATATATATATATATATATATATAGATATATATATATATATAGATATATTTATAGATATATATATATATATATATATATATATATAGATATATATATATAGATATATATATATATATAGATATATATATAGATATATATATATATATATATAGGTATATATATATATATATATATAGATATATATATACTGCATTACAGGTTGATTAGTTTTTAAGTTATCTAAAGATCAGGAAAAAAAGGTCAAAAATTAATTTTAGAGTGTGTGGTTTACTATATATGATTTTGATAGATAACTTAACGGCAAGATCAACGGCCGAAACCGTTTTGACCGTTGACGCATAGTTTGTCTATAAATTAAGTTTTCCTGTGGTGTCATAAGTTAGTTTTTTCCGATTTAAGACAAAGTATTCAACAACCGTCCAAAGTGTATGCTTTGTTGCATTCACCGTCAAATTTTATCGAAATGATGTATGATATGTAACGGCTGCTGTAAATTTGCTGTAAAATGCTGTAAACGACGTTTTTGTTCTATAAAAAGTGTTTTGTGACGGAGTTTTTTGCAATTTACCGACGAACGACACGGCTGCCGTCAAAAAAGTTTGCGTTGTAATACTCGAAATTTGATTTTCTTTCGAATAGATGTATCACATGTTACGGCTGCTGTATGGTTTGTCTCTAATTTACGTTTTTCTGCTGCCGCCCCTTAATGATATGTAGCAGTTTTTTCAAGATTAGAAACAAACTATAACATTTTATCCAATTCTGTTATTTTTTTTCGCCATTGTAGAATTTGATTTTCTATCGAAATCATGTATAATACGTGGCATTTGAAAAATTGACTTTTTCCCTGATAATACATCAGGGAAAATTGGTCAAAAATTGAACTTTGAGATTGCCATAAGGTATACATCATTTTGACAGAGAATTTAACGGCCAGTTTAACAGCGCAAACCGTTTTGATGCTTGTTGCATAGTTTGTCTATACACCGCGTTTTTCTGAATTGTCCCCCCCCCCCCCTCCCTGGTTTGTTTAGCAGTTTTCACCCTATTTGAGACAAGATATACAGCAGCCGTTGTATTTGTAACCAACGGCTAACGTATAGTTTGTCTCTAAACAACGTTTTTCGGTAGATAAAAAATGTTTTGTGACGGAGTTTTTTGCAATTTACCGGCAAACGACACGGCAGCCGTCAAAACAGTTTGCGTTGTTAAACTCACCGTTTGATCTTCTATCGAATGGATGTATCACATGTGACAGCTGCTGTATGGTTTTTCTCTAATTGACGTTTTTCTGTTGCCGCCCCTCACTTTTTGATGCAGTTTTTGGTAGATTACAGACAAACTTTAGGGTTTTATCTAATTCTTTTTGCGCAGTTGTTCTTAGAATTTAGTTTACTGACGAAATCATGTATACCACATGCCATTTGAAACTTTTTTTCTGATGTATTTATATCTAAATAAGTGATTTTAAAAAGTGTTTTGGAATTTAATAAGAAACTATATATCGATAGGTAAAAGGATTTGCGTTGTTATACTCACCCACCTATTTTTTAGAAAATGTATTATATAAATCAGATGCCTTAGAGTTTGACCTTAATTGACGTTTTAAGGTTGCCCCCCTCAGTTTTTACCTTCTGGATCTCAATTTTTTTCACAGGAAACATGTAGAATAGCTAAAATAACGTGTAATACATGAATTTTACGCGAAATTCGACAAGGATTTGAATAAACAACTAACACGGATAAAAAAAGGAAAATGATCCTGTTGCTAAGCTTGTTAACTTTTAGTATTTTTTTTAATCATGTCACATTAGGTGAAAACTATCGCCTGTATTAAAATATAAATGATGGCAGGACATATGCCTATATTGACTTAACCCTAGAAACTACATCTTTGCCGCCGGTGTACTGTTGAAAATTGTAAAAATATATATCCAGTTGTACAAAGAACTTTAGTAGATTTTAAACAACTGTTAATATATTTAAATAGAGCAAATATTTCTGCATCGATTTATACCCAGTTTTATACAGATATAACAACATCAAATAGGTCACAACTTGCGTTAAATAATTCAAAAACCGTTCCGCGATATAGCAGAGAGGGGAAAATTTTGGGTTAGGGGTAAAGGGGTCAAATATTCAAAATTTTCAGGATCCCCACCAAAATTGTCAACCTTTATAAACAAACTGAGCTAATAAAAAAAAATTTTGGATCTAGCCCTTTAGGGTTAAAAGATCCAAATATGGTATTTTATATGAACTATCAAAAAAAATTGTTCATCGCCTCTGGCAGTATTGTAATAAGTTGCCTTTATTGTTTCCATTTCTTGAATGGTAAGGCCAGCAAAACATTTAAAAAATCTAAAAAAAGCACAACAGAAGGCAGTTTTGAAATCAATGTCCGGGGTTGTATTTTGTTTAGCCAAGGGCAATGCTTGCTGCTCTTAAATTATATTAATCAAAGGAGCAGCATAAAAATCCTCAATATGGTTAGCATCAGAAAATAAACATTTTGGTAAGGTTTTCATTTCTAGGTCAATCTTTTCCCAAATAAAAATAAGAGACGAATAGTGGTTCGATATACCTAAAAAGTAAATAAAAATGTTTTAACTCTAAATAAAATTAAAAATATTAAAACATATCTTTAATATTTTTCTACCTTTATCATTATAGTTTTTGGAAAACTTTAAATAATGCCTAAAATCTGCTACCGCTTATTGGCCATTTTTATAAAAGTACTCAAATGGTGTATTGTTT